ATCAATCTAACCACATCACTGTTTATGTGGACGTAGTCCATTTTTCTCCATGTCTCCATGTTTGTGTTGACACGTATTACAATTGTTAATTCCCAGGGACTTCCAGATGAGGAAAATGGCAAGCTAAATGTCTCCAAAAAAGTGGAGATGCCACCACAGTGACAACTGATGGACAAGCTCAGTCCAACAGGACCCAGATAAAGGAGAATACAAGAGATTTTCTACGTGTGCTTCAAAAAGCTGCTCCTTGCGGGAGACTGCAGGATAACGGTCATCCACGGGTATGATCACCAAGAGACAGTAAGTCATCAAGCTCTCAACCACGGCAGAGCCTTTAAGAACATTGGGTTTGACCACCTCATTTTCTAACCGCCACTGAATTTATAATTATTTTACAGTTAAAATAGGTCTTCCAAACAAGAAGTTTGAAAAACCACCTGGTGCATAAAGTTTTGTCCCAAAATAGAAGAAAAGTTAACTAGCAGTTTAAAGAACTTAAAGAATACAAAACAAATGGCAAAAAGTTGAATAAGAATTTAATTTTAAAAAGTTTTAAACGAATTAAAGGGCCAGATGAATTTGGAATATTAGGACTTTTGCTAAGTTTTTGGAAAAATTGAGTAAATAAAACAACATTTCCAAGGAATACAAATTGCTTTGTCTACCAGGAAAGAAACAGTTGGTTGAAAGTGGAAAACAAAGAGAAGTAATAACGAAACCTGAGACTTTATGAATGTAGAAATGGGCCATTAGATGGGACTAAAGTTCCAGGCAGGAAAAAGGAAAGTGAAATCTGCAAAATGACAAATAAAGGCATGACACTTGAGACATTTCAAAGGATTTTTGAAGAACTGGGGGAAAAAAGTATAACAAATCTGACAACAATAATCTCTGCACCTGTAAATGTATTTCTTGAAGAATATTATAAAGATAAAAATATGGAAGAATTTATGGACAGGATGAAAAGAGGATACAAATCCTAGCTGATGGAGAAATATTGGAAAATATTTCAATGGAGGATTATAAAATAGAGATTACAGTCAGAGTGGAAACACAAATGACAAATCAAGAGATGAGAAAGGACCTGGACAAGGACTTATTTTTGGGTTTATGAAAGATTTCTAAAACTTTGAAAAAAACTTTGAGATGGGAGAAAGAAAATCTGCATGTAGATTCAATCCTACGAGAGCAACTTTATGAGCTAAAGATTTTATAAAAATCTGGAAATCCTTTATGGACTTTTTGCCAACATTTGGACAGAAATGACAATGATTTTGGGCTTTGTGAATGGACTGAGGGGGCTATGGGAAGAAGTGAACCACGTACAGGTAGTCCTCGGTTAACAATGGTAATTGAGGCCAGAATTTCCATTGTTAAGTGATGCAGTCGTAAAGCACAACATCTTATGACTGCATCACTTAGCAATGGCAATCCCAGCAGTCCCCATTGCTGTCGTTAAGCAAGAACTGCAGGTCATTAAGCAGGGACCTTCTTGCAACTTTCTACTGGCTTCCAAATGGCAAAGTCAATGGGGAAGCCAGCAGGAAGTCGCAAGTCCCGGATAGCTTGCAACCAAGCCAGTGGGCGGGTAAGTAGCTGCCATGGCCCAATGAGAGTACATCTGGGCCAGGGGTGGCTGCTGATGGGGGGCAGGAAGGTGCACAAGGCAGGCATGCATGACTTTGAGAAGGCTCCACATGGCCTCGGGAAGAAGGCATCGCACAGCCAGCATCTCCCTTGCGAAAGGCCAGGCTGGGCACACCTTGTCAGCAGTGGGAGGACGGCAAAGGTGAGTTGAGGGCGGCAGGGGTGGTAGAACACAAGGCAGCTTGCTCACCCTCCCGCCCCAGGTAGCAGCCATCCCTGGTCTGGCTGCACTCACACCAGGCAGCAGCAGCTGCTTGCACGCCTTCCCTCCGCAGCAACAATCATCCCCATCCCGGCTGCACTCCTGAAGGGCCAGGCCAGACTCATCTCAACAGCAGCGGGAGGAAAAAGATGGCAAAGGTCAGCTGGGGGGGCAGAGTGCAGGGCAGCCAAAAGGCCAGAGACGGGGGGAGAGGCGGGTGGGGGGGGAACTGAAGTGTGCCCTGCAGTTATAAATGCAGGTGGGTTGTCAAGTGCCTGGATTTTGATCACATGACTGCAGGGGCACTGCAACAGCCTCAACTTCAAGGACTGAGCGTAATTACCATTCATTCAGCATTGTTGTAAATTCAAACGGTTGCTGAACAAATGGTTGCTAAACTAGGACTACCTGCATGTAATCTCATATGGGTGGGAAACTATTAATTTGCTTGGACTTGTTGCAAGAAAGATCAGGAGTCACTTCTTTAAATATTCTCTTCTTTTTTTTATTTCTTTTCTTTTCTCTTTTTCTTTTTTCTTTTCCTTTTTGCACTCCTTTTCTTCATTTCTTTTTTTGCTATTATTTTGTTTTTTTCTGATTTCAGTTTGTATTATCTTTTAGCATTGTAAAATTCTTTAATAAAAAGTATTTTAAAAAATTGTTAACTCCCTTCAGCACTAGCTAACAGACTAACAGGATAATTTACTGACAAACAAGTGACATCTACAATCTTCACACTGGGCAAGCGAATTGCCATGTGAGCTACACGCATGTCACATCCTCAGCTATAACTGTGTATCTAACAATTATATCACCCCCCTCTACAACATGCACTAGAGGATTTGTCTTCATCCTCCAATAAATTAGTCGTTCCTAAATTATCATCTTCATGTGAATGACACCCACCCTTCTTTCTCTAAGACCCTAATTCCCTATGATAATACAGGAACTATATCGCTAGGAGTGGGATACAAAGTTCATACTATGAACTTTAATTTTTTAAAAAGTCACCAAATGCTAATAAGGAGAAAAATTACAAAGTTGCTTTCAGAGTTCCAACTATTGTTGACTTAGCCAAAATGTGGGAAAAAATGTGTCTGCCAAGTACATTGTACACAGAAACCAAGAGGATGTCCTTATATGCCCCAATATTGTATATGCTAATATAGAGTTTTTCAGCACCTGCAGAATCTACCAGCACGCTGCCACATATTGCTGGAAAGAAGTTTCTCAGAAACTGAGTGGCAGTGAGCCAGAAAAGAGCTTATTGTATGTTAAGAGGCTGCATTCCTTTCCGTCAAGTGAAAGAGATTACCAATCATGCACTGTCAGTAAGGCAGCCCCAGATTTAGGCAAAAAAAGAGCACAATTCTCAGAGCAGTCAGCTCAATATTTTACTTTCAAATGCTTTATTAAGAAAAAGTTCTTCTTGTTGTTGTTGCTTTATAGTACAAGAGCTTAGTGAAACAAAATCTGGCTAAATCGAGATACCCCAGTTCAATAATGCCATGGATTAGGCAGCCAAAAATTGATGGAGATGAGAGAGCCAAAGAACACAGCTCCGGGGCTTATTCTGGTAGGTTAGAAGCCTTTGATGAGAGTCCTGAGAAATACATTTTTGAAACAAAGGAGCCTCTGTGATACCATCCTGGCTGCATAGAAGCTGCCTTTTTACGAGCATGCCCTAAAAGGCTGGAATAACGTTTCAGTGTCTGAGCGTGGAACTGAAAGACTGGGGACTTTTACACCACTAGGGTAATACTCAAAGACTCAAAATCAAAATGTACTTTCTCCGTAAACATCACCCAAGGTATTCCGCAAGAAAACGTCTTACTCAACTAGACCTTATGTTAATTAGTCCTTAAAACTACCAAATAATATCCCAAAATGTCCTAAAAATCTATTTTATTTTCACGAATGATACAAATCATAAGAAACCAGTGGAACAGAAATGAAGCTACAACTGGTCCACTTTGCTTTTGTCAGCAATTTGGATGTTTTAATATCTGTATTTTATTTGATTGATTTTTAAGACCACTGCAATCATGTATCTCTCAGCAGTATACAAAGAAAAACATCCATAATACAGAAATGCAATTATACAATCATAACAAATATTTAAAATTACCTTAAAACTGAAGCACATAAATAACTTCCACAGTGCTATCTTAACTCATTAAAAAGGCTTTCTGGAAGAGCTCCATTTTAACCTGCTTCCAGAAGGCAAACAGCCTCATTTCTGGTGATAAGCTATTCCACAACATGCGGGCTCTAATGGAGGAGCATCTTCTCCTAGCCTTGGCTCTTCTGATCGCCTAATAGTGGAGGACTATCAATGGTTCTTCATGGGTTGCTTGTATCAGACTTATCAATTCTAGTTGAAGGAGGCAGTCCTGCAGGTACCTCAGTACCAAGCTATAATATCAACACTAAATTGCACTCAAACTACTTGCAGCTAATGCAGGACTCACAGCACAGATATAATATGTTCCGGGCGTCTAGTGCCCATTAGCAAGTGGGTTGTTGCATTTTCGGTCAACTACAGTTTCCAAATACAGTGGAACCTCAGTTTACGAACTTAATTCGTTCCATGACTCTGGTTGCAACCCGAATTGGTCGC